ATTTCAATGCTCTCCTTTGTTAATGACTAAATCAGTGCGGCTGTGTGCTGGTTCTGGGCTGTGGCCAGGCGCTCGCGGCTGGCTCTAAAACACACACGAGCATTCGCGCGCACACACACACACACACACACACCAATCAAACACGCAAACACATTCTCACGCGCCACATATACACATACGCATGCACTCAGACGGTGCAGACAAACACATGGCGAGAGTCAGACACACAAACACACACACGCACACACACACACACACTCGTCTCAGTCAGCCAGCCAGTGCAGCTGGTCCTCCACTTCCCTCCCGATCCAGCAGCCCTGACGCAGGAGACTGAGGCGTCCTCCATTGTGTCTGTGCGGAGAGAGACGACAGGCATCGCCGCGCCGTTCAGCACGCGCCTCCCGACAGCCGCCAGCGTTTCCCACCGTTTCACTCTCAAATCAGCCTGCTAACGACACAGCTGCTCGTCCCTCATAACCCGCCCGCCGCCGTGCCCTTGAAAGAAAAGGGACTTTACATGCTTCCACATGAGGAATGGACCTGGAAATAAAGGAATCAGATCAACATTCTTTCGGCTTCGCTGACCGTCCCGTGCATAAAGCACATGAGGAGAGAGGAGGTTAAAAGCAGCTGTGTGTCCGTGCTTTTGTTGCAGTATTAGCCGTAGCTCTGTCACTGCCTGCTGATAGCTGTGCCTCACTCTCAATTAGCCCGACTTCTCAGGCAGCCCTGCACCAATCACTGAACTGCTAATTGACTGCATTAGCAGATAAATATACAAACCCAAAACCAGTGAAGTTGGCACGTTGTGTAAATCGTAAATAAAAACAGAATACAATGATTTGCAAATCCTTTTCAACCTATATTCAATTGAATACACTGCAAAGACAAGTTACTTAATGTTCGAACAGGTAAACTTTGTAATTTTTTGCAAATATTAGCTCATTTGGAATTTGATGCCTGCAACATGTTTCAAAAAAAGCTGGCACAAGTGGCAAAAAGACTGAGAGAGTTGAGGAATGCTCATCAAACACTTATTTGGAACATCCCACAGGTGAACGGGCTAATTGGGAACAGGTGGGTGCCATGATTGGGTATAAAAAGCAGCTTCCTGAAATGCTCAGTCATTCACAAACAAGGATGGGGCGAGGTCACCACTTAGTGAACAAATGCATGAGCTGATTGTCGAACAGTTTAAAAACAACATTCCTCAACGAGCTATTGCAAGAAATTTAGGGATTTCATCATCTACGGTCCGTAATATCGTCAAAAAGGTTCAGAGAATCTGGAGAAATCACTGCACGTGGCGACAAGGCCGAAAACCAACATTGAATGCCCGTGACCTTCGATCCCTCAGGCGGTACTGCATCAAAAACCGACATCAGTGTGTAAAGGACATCACCACATGGGCTCAGGAACACTTCAGAAAACCACTGTCAGTAACTACAGTTCGTCGCTACATCTGCAAGTGCAAGTTAAAACTCTACAATGCAAAGCGAAAGCCATTTATCAACAGCACCCAGAAACGCCGCCCGGCTTCGCTGGGCCCAAGCTCATCTAAGATGGACTGATGCAAAGTGGAAAAAGTGTTCTGTGGTCTGACGAGTCCACATTTCAAATTGTTTTTTGGAAACTGTGGGCGTCGTGTCCTCCGGACCAAAGAGGAAAAAAGAACCATCCGGACTGTTATAGGCGCAAAGTTCAAAAGCCAGCATCTGTGATGGTATGGGGGGTGTATTAGTGCCCAAGGCATGGGTAACTTACACATATGTGAAGGCACCATTAATGCTGAAAGGTACATACAGGTTTTTGGAGCAACATATGTTGCCATCCAAGCAACGTCTTTTCATGGACGTCCCTGCTTATTTCAGCAAGACAATGCCAAGCCACATTCTGCACGTGTTACAACAGCATGGCTCCGTAGTAAAAGAGTGCGGGTACTAGATTGGCCTGCCTGTAGTCCAGACCTGTCTCCCATTGAAAATGTGTGGCGCATTATGAAGCGTAAAATACGACAACGGAGACTGTTGAACAACTTAAGCTGTACATCAAGCAAGAATGGGAAAGAGTTCCACCTGAAAAGCTTCAAAAATTGGTCTCCTCAGTTCCCAAACGTTTACTGAGTGTCGTTAAAAGGAAAGGTGATGTAACACAGTGGTAAAAAGGCCCCTGTGCCAACTTTTTTGCAATGTGTTGCTGCCTTTAAATTCTAAGTTAATGATTATTTGCAAAAAAAAAAAAATAAAGTTTCTCAGTTTGAACATTAAACATCTTGTCTTTGCAGTGTATTCAATTGAATATAAGTTGAAAAGGATTTGCAAATCATTGTATTCTGTTTTTATCTACGATTTACATAATGTGCCAACTTAACTGGTTTTGGGTTTTGTAATTTGAGTCAGATCACAAACCCAGTAAAGCCCTTCTGACTAAGCCCCAGCGCAGGTGGTTACAAACTATGCAAATGAAAAACACAGTGGATGGGAGAGACCCAGAGAGAGAGAGGGAGCTGAGAGAGAGAGAGGAGGAGAGAGCAGGGGGGTTCAGGGGGCAGGAATAGGGGCCCGTCATATAAGAGATGCCAGGATTTTAACGAATATTTATCACCCCTGCCTCCCGCGATGAACCTGTGCACACTTGGAGCTGCGCCAGCCTCATTTCAATGCACATGTGCCCAACATGCTGGTTCTGGGCTGTGTACAGGCGCTCGCGGTGGCCTAAACACACACGAGCATTCATACACACACACACCAATCAAACACGCATTCTCACGCGCCACTTATACATACGCATGCACTCAGAAACAAGACAAACACACAGCATATCAGACACACAACACACACACACACACATTCTCAGTCAGCCAGCCAGTGCAGCTGGTCCTCCACTTCCCTCCCGATCCACAGCCCTGATACAGGAGACATAGGCGTCCTCCAAACAGACGACAGGCATCACACGCCGTTCAGCAAAACATGTACATGTTCCACACAAATCAGCCTCAAAACATGTGTCCGCACTGCCCACATGAAAACAAATACTTTACATGCACAAATAAAGGAATCAGATCAACATTCTTCAAGCCACACACTTACAAACATAAAGCACATGAGGAGAGGAGGTTAAAACAGCTGTGTGTCCGTGCTTTTGTTGAATGCCTGCTGATAGCTTGCCTCACTCACTTCTCAGGCAGCCCTGCACCAATCACTGAACTGCAGACTGCATTAGGACAGGAAGAGTAAAGGCAGTGAAAGCCCTTCTGACAGCCCCAGTAACCCCCCCATCCCCACCCTCCTCTGTGTGCACAGACATGTACAAACAGACCCATATCCACACAGGCACATGTGCCCAGAGACACATGTACATACTGTAAAGCCTTACTTGTATGTACACTTAACATACAGTGAAACAAGCATATACACAGCATATGCACACACACACACACACACACACACACACACACATTTATCTAATATTCCCATACACTCAACACACACTCATACAAGCATATTCAAAACATGTCACACTCAAGCGCATCAACATGTACACTCCACACACTCATACACATACACACAAAACATGTGTGTCCCCTACACACACACATACAAACAAACATACAAGGAAGCACACATTAACACACACTTGAATACACACTTTGCACTCACTTATACAGACGCATGGACAAACACATACACACTAAAGTACACAAACACACGCAAAGAAGCTCAAACACTCCCACACTGCCTCACTGAGAGACACAAATCCACGCACACACCACACACACACCACACACACTGGCACTCATCAACTCTCTCACTGACAGACAGAGGACCAGATCTGCACACACACTTACATACACACACACACTGCTAGGCTCATTGATATTCTGCACGCAGGGCTGGTCACAGGGGGGCCAGCCAGCAGTGATGAGAGTGGAGATGGAACACACACACAACACTGCTGCAGAGAGAACACTAGCCCGCAGCTCATGCCACCACGGCCGCACACACACACACACACACACACACAACACTGCTGTGCTTAACACTGTATACACAACACTGCTGTCTGTTACACTGTATACACAACACTACTGTCCGTTACACTGTATACACAACACTGCTGTCCGTTACACTGTATACACAACACTGCTGTCTGTTACACTGTATACACAACACTGCTGTCCGTTCTGCTGCACGCACACAACACTGCTGCCTGTTACACTGTATACACAAACACTACTGTCCGTTACACTGTAAACACAACACTGCTTTGCGTTATGCAGTATACACAATGCTACTGTGTTACACTGCACACACAACACTGCAGTGCACTACACTGCACACACAACACTGCAGTGCGCTACATTTCACTCAAAACACTGCTGTGCATTACACTGCACACACAACACTGTGCATTACGCTGCACAAACAACACTGCAGTGCACTACACTGCACACACAACACTGCAGTGCACTACACTGCACACACAACATTGCAGTGCATTACACTGCACACACAATACTGCTGTGCATTTCACTGCACACACAACACTGCTGCACGAACAACACTGCAGTGCACTACATTGCACACACAACACTGCAGTGTGTTACGCTATATACACAACATTGCTGTGCATCACCCTACACACACAACACTGCAGTGTGTTACACTGCACAAACAACACCGCTGTGTGTTATGCTGCTCACACAACACTCCAGTGAATTATACTGCTCATATCACATTGCTGTGTGTTACACTGCAAGTTACACAGCAGTGCGTTATGCTGCACAGTGCACACGTAACACTGCAATGCATTAAGCTGCTGACACAACACTACTGTGTGGTACACTGCTCACAGAGCTCTGCTGTGTGTTACGCTGTACACACAACACTGCTGCCATGCTTTACACCATCACTCCACATCGTTCACATACACAGTGAGATCAGGACCATTTTGCCCATGTGCACATGTCGCTGTTCAGCACTCTTAAAACACCATGGGGCGCCCCGATGGCACATCGGTCTAAGCGCGCGCTCCACAAAAGGCTGAGTCCTTCCTGCGGCAGCCCGGGTTCGATTCCGGCTCGGGCCTGTTTGCCGCATGTCATCCCCATTCTTGTCCCACCTCTCCTGCCTCTCTCTACTAAATACTGTCCAATAAAGGGAAAACTCCAAAAAAAATCTTAAAAGTAATAAATAAAAACACCATGATCTGTCTCATTTCAGAAGAACACAGCGATACCAGCTTCCATTAGGTAGTTTTTAAAACAGAAATAAATACACAGTGGTGGTTGCTCACTAAAACATTTTAACCGCATAAAATGACGTAGTGAAAATGCCTGAAAGTGTTTTCCTGTCTGCAGTGTGCAAGCAGCCTGACAGGCGGTGGCGTAATTCCATAAAGCCTGCCCTGCATGTCCACAAAGTGAACACTAGAGGTCGCCGAAGATGCTTTGTGTGGTTGATTCATGCGCATTTAATTCTGCTATCACACCGAGAGTAGTACTAAGCAGAAGGAATTCCACGGTTTAATCAAAATTATCATCATTTCAAAAAATAATTTTCCATAATTCAATGGAAGAATGAGGTTATATAATCATCAATCCTTATCCTAGCATACAGTGAAGCCAAGGGCTCAGGATTCAAATGTGGGCAGGAAATCAGTTTTGCTTTGTTTATTGATCCAGTTGGCGAAGTCAGATTGTCCAGGTCAAGAGCCAACAGGAGAACTGCAGCATCAAAACAACAGGTAGAATCAAAGTCCAGGAGCAGGCGGAAGATCGGCAAGCAGACTGACAGAATGCAGCACAGGAATATGGGCAGTAGCCGACCCGATAAATCAGAATTAGAGACCAAAATTATGCAGACAGTAGGCAATCCAAACTCGTAAACCAGGAACAAAAGAAGTCGATAAATGAGAAGTCAGCACTAGAAACAAGGTTAGAATGTAACAAGGAAAATAGGGAGACAAAGTGAGCTACAGATAGTACACTCGGAATGATTACATGATGCAGGACAGGTGAGCACATCGAGCTAGAGCACAGAGAGGGGCATGGCCGCAAACGAGGAAACAGGAACTATAATTGTATGGAAAGGGGAGGGTGAGAGTTGGGAGCAGGAGAGGTAAGCAAAGGCAAGTGGAGGTACAGAAAGAAAAGGAAACAATAAATAGACCAGAATGGCAATTATACCAAGAAACTAAGGCACAATTACTGAACACTGACGCATGCAACGTATATTTAAGGTGTAACAATACACTGTGACACAATGCATCGTGATGCATAAATATGACGATGTGCCTTGTAAAGATGGATTATTTCAAATTTTTCATTCTATGAATCAAACACAAAACCCTGTCCCTGAAGATCAACCATCCCGTGGGTTTTTACTTAAACCCTATCAAAACACGCCTCCAACAACAGCCAGAAAACTCACTCTGCAGCTAGTTAGAGTTAGGTGAGCAATATCGGGGTTGGAATAAAAATGTACTGGATGGTGGACCTAAGGGACGGGGTTAAAGACCTCTGATTGAAAGCAACTGCATTGTTTGAATGCTGCATCATAGTCACCTTAATCCTGCATGCTGTCAATTGAGTTTGCTGACTAAAAGTTTTCATTTGGAAATCTTCAGTAATTTCTAATGCAAGGACATGATTTACCACCACTAAGCTGTACAGGAGAGAAATCAGGACGTACAGAAATGCTCAACTCGTGCAAGTGCTTTATTAACTTTCAGCCTATCAGTCAATACTTGAGAATTGTCAGGCACGGCCAAGACAAAAACAGTAAGAGGATGGCTGCGGAGAAGAATCTTCTTAAAAAGTAATATTTCTCCTTGTGCATTTGTGACATGCAGTAAAATATTTAGAGTTTCAGTAACTGATATTTATGCCCTGCAATTTACCAAATACAGTAGTGCCTTTCTAATGGTGAGAATCGAGAATGCATTCGATGGTTCAGAAATGCGCTAGACTTATTAAACATTTGTAAATAAATGCAAATGAAAACGTGCTAATTTATACAAAATGAGACTTGCTAGATGACAGAGATGACAGTAGATACTATGAACAGCTCAATTATGTTTGGAGATAGAGAGAACAAACCAATAGTCTTTCTTCCTGCCCGCATAAGCTTAGGCCGGGTTCAGACTACACGATTTTTAAAATCCCAACCGATTTTGAAATCCGGTTGCATTACACACATAAGGAGAATCTTCACAGATAATCTGCTGTCTAATCTTAAACATGTGCACACTACAGGATTTGAAAACTATGGTGCATTTAACACTACAGGATATTATTAAGATTATTGTGCCAGAGGCAGCAGCGCTCCACCTGACGTGAACTCGCGCGATCTCATGGGGGAGCCCGGAGATTTAAAAATTTAAAAATGGAGAGTGACATGAAGCACATACTTGCTATTATAATCACTTGCAGTGAGAAGAGAAAACAAAAAATGAAACGGGTCTGGGTGAGAAAATGATTGGGGAGACGTGGTCAGCACGGATTGTCAGTTCTTCAGCGAGAACTGGAGGTGAGTTTTTTAACGATCAGTTTTTTTTTTTTACTATTTGTCAACAGTAGCATACTAGATTAGTCTCAATGGCTATAAATGTTTATCGTTGCTCGGTCAACTGCCCCGGGCCTAACGTTAGGTTGTAACGCTAACGTTTAGCTAGCTAGTTCAAAAGCAACATTGTTCACAGTTGCAATGTAGTATTGTGTTGGTGTAATGAAAATAAACCACTGGCGCTATTGTGACAAGAAATGGCAACATGTTACAACGCTGAGGCAGGAAATGTAGCGACTGTAAGAAACAGCTGGTCACAGGGTTTATGCAGCTGAAATAGCGGCCACCAGCGAGCGACACTGACAATTTTACACGTCCACTGAAGTTCTTGCCTACTCATGCATGATAGAGATACGTATATAACGTCTCTCTCTCTCTCTCTCTCTCTGTCACACACACACACACACACACACACACACATTTCAGACAGTTTTGCTTTGTTTTGATGATCTTTTTTTTGTTTGTCAGCTCCGTCAGCTTGAGTCTTGTCTCTCATTGGCTACTGTGGTTCCGTTCGGAAAGTAATGACGTAATCATGCAGATTTTCACTCCGAAATATCAAACATGTTTGAAAATTATCGGAGCGGGCCCGATCAGTCTGCGAGCAAATCGGGAGGGTTAAGATTGGATCGGTAAACCCAGCACATAACCAGATAATCTGATAATCTCGGTACCGACCAAGGTCCCAGACAAGATTTCTCTGCCGATTGTCGGGAGGGGTGAATTGGGGATAAATCGGCCCGAAAATCCTGTAATCTGAACCCGGCCTTAGTTAGCCACGATATTACAGTAAGGAGGAGAGTGGGCGAAACTGACATTCATGGGACAGCTGCAGGGTGAAAACCACTGCTGACCAAAAAGAACACAAAGGCTCATCTCACATTTGCCAAAAAACATCTTGTTGTCCCCTGAGAGTTCTGGGATAATATTCAGTGGCCTGATGACTTGAAAGTGGAAGACATGGGTCCAGTTACATCTGTTGTGAAGCAAACACAGCATTCCACAATGAGAACATCATACCAGCGGTCAAGAAAAGCAGTGGTAATGTGATGGTCTGGGGCTGCTTTACTGCTTCAGGACCTGGATGACTTGCCATAATTGATGGAACTATGAATTCCGTTCTCTACTATTAAATCCTAAAGAAGAATGTCTACCCATCAGTTTGTCTCTCAAAGCTCAAGAGCAGTTGTGTTATGCAACAGGACAATGATCCTACGCACATAAGTCCACCTCTGAAAGGCTCAAACAAAACAAAATGAAGGTTTTGGAGTGATTTAATCAATGCGCTGACTTGAATCCGATTGATATGCTGCAGCATGACCTTAAATAGGCAGTCTATGCACAAAAATCCTCCAGACTGGCTGAATTAAAACAATTCTGCATAAAGAGAGGGACAGAATTCCTCCAAAGCGATGTTAAAGGCTCATTTCAAGTTATTGCAAAGGCTTGATTGCAGTTTTTGCTGCTAAGGGTTGCACAATCATTCATTAGGTTCAGCAGGAAAATCCTCCAGGTTTTGAATAACTCTTTACCTACAATGGATGAAAATCATTTAAAAGCTGCATTTTTGTATATTCACATTGTTTTTGTCTTATTTCAAAATTATTTAGATAATCCAAAACAATTAAATATGAAAATTCAGCAAAAATAGAAAAAATCGAGAAGAGTCAAAATACATTTCACACAACAATATACAACGTACATATGCATACATGGATTAACACGTCACAAGTTTGAGTGTATATTTTTGTACAGTAACGTTTTCAGTCTATCCACAATTTCTAGGTGAGCAGAACTGAGAAAATCATAGAGCACTCAGCATGACTAATTAGGTTTATTTGCAATTCCCTAATCAGCATTTCATCATATCCACATGCCCGTGAAGAAATGTCACCGAGCTGTTTTGCATTTGAGCCAAAGGCAGCAGGACGCCAATAGTAGACAATGCATGCTGTTTTAAAGATGACCCAGTCAGTGATTGTCAGAAGTAGCCTACATAAACTGTGCTATGGAGTGGACAACACACAGCCTCTAACATGCCTACCAGTGCACCTTCAGAGCCTTCCCTGACAGTCACATGATCTGCGGAAGAGCTGGAGCTCCAGTTCATAATCTGCAGAGGGACAGATATAGAGAGAGGAACCTGTAAGAGCGGAGGTAAGCGATAATGAGCAGCACCTTCAGCATTAGCACAGCCATACAGCCACAGTGCCAGGGAGCCCCGCTCAGGGCCCAGGGGGGAGAGAAGAATGTCTGGGCTGGAGGTCAAGGTGGCTCTCCCCGACCGAAAATGGGAACAGACAATTGCAAGACTGCCAATTACTCAGGCAAGGTGAGAGATGGTCCCTGAAGAACGTCCATGACCGCGACGGAGAGACAGCCACATCCCTGAACTGTTCATTATAGGAGGGGACACACACACACACGGAGCAGAGGCCAAAGAGAATGGTGTGTGCGTGTGTGTGTGTGGGTGGATATACTACTAAGTTGTGTGCACAACCCCATTGTCTGTAACTTCATAGT